CATGAAAAAATATCCAGTGTCTTATACATTTTTTTAATTTTCTTCTGAAGGGGAGAGGAAATGTTTTATGTTTTATATGCTCATGTAAATCAGACATGAATCCTGAGTAATAAACTGATACTTTCATATTGTATTTTGTACAAACTATACAAAACATAATGGCAAACAACCGAAGACCGATCTCTATTATACAAACACTGTGATAAATTAATATTCACTTCAAGTATAATTACAAGGATCTGCTGCCATCAGAACCAGAATAAAGCCTGCGTAAGAACATTCAGCCTTAAGGGCCTGACCCTGAAAAAGCTAACTCACATCAGTAGTCCTTACTTGTGTGAGAAGTCCAGTGTACTCCTGCCAGTAAATTCCACTCAGCTCAATAGGGCTACTGATGTGAATTAAGGCTGGGGGGAAAGCCTTTCTATATGCTATCAAAGATGGTTATTTTCTCAATTATCTGCTCTCAGAATATGATTATTTTATTTGTGGGGAAATATAAATCAATTTTCACTCTGTTACTCCAGTGTATATATCATATCATCTCCATACTGTATGTGAATATGTGAAACATTTCTGAGTACCAAAACATTCTGATTACCAAAGTGATGCTCAATCTACTATCACTCATGAATCACATCTCATTCATGAAAAAGTATTTTGGATTATTTTATTTTAGAAACGAGACTAGAAAATGTAATAGCAAAGCATAAGCAAATTAGAAATAAGAAAATCATAATTACTTAAGTTGCAAACAGTTCATAGAGTTATCATATACACTACATGAGTGGGCAGGAAACCCAGTTTCATCATAAATGTATTTATAAATTGGTTTACTTATCCAGTCATGTTTGTAGAACAGCTCTATTAGGTCTTTGCAAATACAGTTTCAAAACTGTAACTTACCAGATCTGTTCATGGGTCTCAATTATAATACACATTTTACAGGGCAGGGAGGTTATTTTTTTTAATTCTGAGTATTAGCCTCATTATAATGCAGAAAGATAAGCTTATTGCCAAAAAGTTTGCCCACCCCTGCATTAAAGGCTACTAAAGCTCTAAAGGGCAGTACTTCTTTATCTTAAAATATAGGGTGAGAATTGCTATTGTCGCACATATCCCAGTATCTTATGCTTCCAAGTCTATATTATCAACTGCAGAGGTCAGGGACGATTCATTTCCACTATCTACAGTGTTGCACAATTGTTTGTTTTTTTTCCCCACCTTCACAGGTCACTTCTGGAAGCACAGTGCTGCTGCACTAGCTGGACAAATGGTCTAATCAACTATTGCAGAGCCTACGTTCTCCCAGTGTTTGTTCTTAACATGTTCTAGTCTATCTGAGAATGCTGTTACTAACTGTAAATCTGAACACCAAGTTTCTAGAATGACTGAGATTCTTATAATTAAACTCAGACGGCCAAATTTATCCCTGGTGTAACTCCAGTGATTTTGATGTTATTAACTTTGAGTTTGACTTCAAACTCCACCAACTTAGTCTCAGAGATGTTTCATACAGAAACACCAGGTTATTGGGCTATGACAGATATTACTAAAAGCAAGAGGAGGAAAGAGAACAATGGGGAAGACATGGAAAATGTTATTAAAGCCAATGTTAAGGTGAGCCATTTAATACAGGACCCCAGAGGAGAAAACAACAGTGGCTATGCTGTGTCAGTATGAGACACTCATCTCAATGGCAAACATTACTTGTTAAGATTGCTAACAAATCAGACTTACCAAAGAGGTGAAGATAGTGAAGTAAAATATGAGCAAATTAATTTGCACATTCAGTGTCAAACTTAAAACTTAAGAGAAATGTCTGTCAGACTTTACAGAGCTTCACACCTAAACAAACAACATTAAAAATACCTTCAACACATCGACAACCATCCTGCAACACCCGGGCATACATCTCCACTTTGGACTGAGATAGAAGTTGGTCTCCTGTCAGGTATGTATTGTGAGATGAAGCAATATAGTAGTTACAAAGGGGTTGATCCATATCCTGGTGGACTTCAGAATGCAATGGGTTAAATATATCACAAGCAGAACTGCGCATGAAGCTGGTGAAACCTTTGAACAAAAAGAAACAGTTTTTCAAGAGTGCGGTGTACCTGGACAGATTAACCTTACTAGAATACACAGGTTGATAAAATAGATACTATTTATGCTAAAGCCTGTCAGTGTTAATCTGGCACCCAAGAACTGCTGTGTCATGTGGGATGAATCCACCATCCTGAGTATCTGAACTACCGTCTATGGTTTGTCTATTTCTTTTGCAAGCTCCTTTGGGCGAGGGCATAGACCAAATTCATTGCTAGCATCAACAGGAGTTACACCTGCTAAAGTCAATGGGCGTTCTGACCATTTATGCCAGACAAGTCCATCATTTTCTCCTGGTCTCTACAGCATCACATGCACTGTTGTCTCTCAAGAAATATTAAACAAACTACAAAACAGACAAAACTGAGCAATGTAGTAGTATGTTTACAAATCCATGCCTATCAAAACCAGCAGCATTTGGACAGCAATGGCACTGAGCTAAGGGATTCATAAGAAATCTATTAACAAAGAATAGCGGAGGCAGAAATTTGGATTCAATTGGTAAAATATGAAAGCTTAAATAATGAATGGCAGCAACATGGCAAGACTAAGAAAAGCATAGATCTGCAATCCCATTATCAAGTCTGTGTTCACATCATATGTTTCCTTCATGCCCTTAAGGAGCATATGATGGAAATCTGTGTGTAAAAATTCTTTGAACCCCTGGCGAGTTTCTCTGGGCCAAATCTGATGCACACACTTAGGCAAGTGCTGTATGCTAAAACTGCCTCTTGCAGTTCAAACAAAAACATTCCCATAACAAACAGAACAAAACAGCTCGTCATTGTTTCCATTAGAATTTACAAAACTTTCTTTCTTCAAATTATTTGATAAGATTAAAAATTATTTATCTTAATCTAAATACCACTGCAAACAATCAGGTACTTTGTACCCAAACAATGACTCGCTGTCATTAAAAACTGCCCTGCACAGATGTGACCCTCAGCAAGCTGATATTTCCTGACTCCTTGGGATGCGTTGTGCAGTGGGGGAAGGGATGTCAGTTGCCTCTGCAGCTACATCCCTCTTTCCAAAGACCCAGTCATTTCCCCATTCCTCCAAAGGGGAAATGACTGGCTTGGTGTAAGGGAGGGAACGGGAGCCTCGTGTTGGGGGTGTGAGGCATCGAGGGGATGCACATTGTCTTTCTACTGGCCCAGTGAAGATTATAGACCAAGAGTAATATATCCTGGGTGTCATAGGATGGTCGTTGCCTGGAAATGAAACCGATCCAGCACACCTTGTGACCAAACAGGTGTTCCCACTTAGGGTAATTAAGAGCCATGGCAGCACCTGGGCCATGTAAATAGGAAGAGAGCTGGTGAGTCAGGCCTGCTTGAGTGCACAGACTTGAGGAGCAAAGGACAGGGACAGGGATAGGGACAGGTGAGAGCTGCCCGAGAGAGACAGTCTGCAAGGAGTGGAAAACTTTGCAGGCCCTCACTGGGCAGAGAGGCTAGTGCACTGACAGTCCTGAGCGAGAAAGGCTGAAAGGGCTGAGAGCTAGGAAGCCAGTGGAGGGACTAGCTGCTGGCCCTTGCTGAGCCATAGAGCCAAGGCTGGAGAGGGCTGAAGGCTGAGAGCAGGAGAGGGTGATGCCTGCTGAGGCCTGGGAGTGAAGTGTGGTGAGAGATGTCAAAGTTGCACTGGAGAGCTAGAGCATGGTGAGAGATCCCATGATGAGAGATGCTGAAGCCGTGCTTGGTATGTAGCATGTACCGTCTGGACTATGCTGGGGAATTTGGGACTGTGCTTATGGGATTTGTGTTATAGTTTATCTGCACAGGATTTTCTCTTATGATAAATTAAACTGCTAAGGCTATTTTTATTCAGAAAGGCTATTTGGGCTAGTCCTGGGGACTCTGAAGGAGAAAATGAGGCAAGTGTGTCTGTTGTGCTGTAGCCTGCCACAGGAGGGCGCTCCAGGAGGGCAGGCAGCCCTATGATACTGGGATAATATTACTTCTTCCATGGAGCCTTCTTCACCAGTGGGATCCCTCTTTAAGTGAGATGTCGGGACAGCTGGAGCCAGAGTAAATGCTTGGCAGCTGCTGGGAAAGAGGTATAGAGGCACGGGGCCTGCAAGGGGATAGGCCTGACCTCCTGGAGATCCCCCAGAATTCTGTACTGGTAACCATTTCCTTGTTGGAACCCACACTAAATGCAACACTGCAGGAATGTTCCAATAGGTCACAATAATGTGAAAACGACCTAAATCCAACCCTAGCATAAGTGGACACAATTCCCATTTAAATTAATAAGAGAGCTATCACTTATGCCAGGGATGAATTTGGCTCCTAGGTCTCTACCATATCCTGACAAGGAATCAGAGGGCTTGAGTCTGATATCATACCACTGTGACTCCACTACATCAGTGGAGTTACTGATTTACACCAGTGTAACTGAGATCAGAATTGGGACTAGAGTTTAAATAGCTAACTTTAGAATATGGAATTTAAAATGTTTTAAAGGGACACAGCAAACTATTAAGACCCTGAATGTAATTAAATGTGAGGAGAGTGTTACTAAACCTAATAGGAATAGAAGTGTTTTCGAATGTTTAAAATGCCACAGCTTGTTGCTTTGTTTTGTTTTCTTAATTCTAGCCTAAGTGAATTGTCCAGAGTAACAGAACTTATGGCAGAACTATGAGGTAAATCCAGGCCTCCTGTTTCCTTGCTCTGCTTTAGCAAGAAGATGATTCTTGTCCCTACAGAATCCACAAGCAAATTAATCTGCTCATGGAAGTTACCTTCTGGGCTAATTAACCGACCGTAGCACTTAAATTATTTCAATCTAATTCTGAAAGATTTATTGATACATGCAGATTTGAATATGGTATTAAGTTGGTTTCAGAATTAATATACCACCTGCAGCCTTGTTTTTGCAAATGAAAGGAGCAAGTTTCTAAATCTTGTAAGAAAATACTCTGGGCCGCACTGCGTTCCCTGCTGTCACTTACATGAGTGTAAATTAATGGACCACTGTAGAGTGGTTTTACACTAGTGTAACAGCACAACTGGCCCATTTTTTACATCAATGAAAATAGGTTATGGTATAAACAAACAAACAAACAAACAATTAGCAATAAGAACCCATACAAATTTGTATGCACTCTTGTTTTAAGATGATATTGGAATCACTTGCAGTACAATTGTGGCTGGTAGTACAATACTAGTCAGGTATTTCAACCTGTTGTTCTCCCATCTTTCAATCCATAATTTATTAAAATACCCCCCAAACAATCATGTGGTGCCTCCATATTAATCTGTTGTAGTCATCAGACATTAAAAGCCACATCAAGGAAAATGTTGTTAGAACTCTTCCACTCTACTGCAATGGAAATAAATTGGGAACCAGACACTTTACCTTCTATCCCCAGAACATTTTGCTCCTTGTTTTCTTCTGAAACTTCAAACTTCCTTATGATGTCAAGGCAATATTCTGTGGTCACATTATTCATCTGCACAAAAATGACAGCATTGGTGAACATATTTTTTCTAGTATGTGACCAACATGTCAAAATATACTTCAGACCCCTGTGTCTGGCTGAAAATCTTGTGATCAAAAACTGAACTCAGTCAACCGCGAATAAGACTGTCAGTAACACTATTCTAAAATGACCTTTGTTTTTTTTCTGGGGGGAAGCAGAGGGGGGAAGGGGTGTTGGTAAAGTCTCTACAAGCCTCATGCTCTTTATCCTTTAACTTTCAGGATGAACATGGTAGAGAATTGCTAATCACAACTATACTGGTTGGTTTAAGAGCTGAAAATTTGCAGGAAAAGAGTCTTTAACAGTTCGAGTTCCAATATTATATTAGTAAGTACAAAGAAAGGATTGATACTGATATTTTTAATGCATTTTACTTTAAGAAAATCTGATTTTTCCTCACACCTGTTTTCGACAATTAACTTCACTGCTTTCAACAGTTACTTGTGATACACAGGAGATGTGACAGAAGAATCTGGTCCAGAGATAAAAGTCTGGCCCCACTGAAGTCAGCGGGAGTTTTGTCAGGATATTTTCCTAGTTATCTCTTTTCTATAATGACAAGTAGCTTTTTTCATACCCTAAACTTAACAGAAGGGAAGTGAAAAAATGGTTAGGTTAGGCATATTTTTTCCACAAAAATGATACTATAATATTTCCATAAAGCTTCTCATTCTTCACCAAAGTTGGTTCAAACACTGGCTTTGCACAAACTTCAAATTAAGACATCAATCATACTTCAAGCAAAAGATTCCAGGAAGATTGATGTTTTCTTTCTCAAATTGTACCTAGTCTGTATTAAATATTATTGCTTCAGGCAAAGGCAACAAAGCAGATTGCTCAGTGTTGTAGGTTATTTGCTATTCACGGTTCAGATTCAAAGAAATGTTCCCTTGGTGACTTGTTGCTCTTCCTCCTCATTGTCTGGAGGAATTTACTTTCTTTTGGCTGGCATTTCCAGTGACTTTACTACTTCTATAGCCTTGATTTGCTTTTCATCCTCCCTACCATTGTCTGTAGGTAAGCAGGCCCAAGTACCAACACTCACCTTTGTGCCAGATTCCCAAGTGGCCCCCTCAAGGATTGAACTCACAACCCTGGGTTTAGCAGGCCAATGCTCAAACCGAGGGGGAGGGATAGCTCAGTGGTTTGAGCATTGGTCACCTTTGTGGAGATCTTTTGAGGAAGGTTGAGATCCTTGAGTGGAGCTCTTTAAGGGCCTAATTCTGCCAGGTGCAGAGCATCTCCCAAGAGATGGTGAAGGCCCTGACTCCCATGACCACTTCTCAAGAAGCACTCAGCACCATACAGCATAGGGTCAAAATGTGAAAGAAAGCGGAGGGGGGAGGGAGAATCTTAATGTGCAAACAGTGCCTGTAAGCCTCATAATGGGAGGAAAATAGATAGTGATATTAGTAGATATAACATAAGATCGGCCATACTGGGTCAAACCAAAGGTCCGTCTAGCCCAGTATTCTGTCTTCTGACAGTGGCCAATGCCAGATGTCCCAGAGGGAATGAACAGATCAGGTAATCATTAAGTGATCCATTCCCTGTCTCCCATTCCCAGCTTCTGGCAAACAGAGGTTAGGGACACCAACTCAATATGAACAGAAGTGAATTATCCTAGCTAGTGAGAAGTTCAAAAAATGTCACCAACTGAGAGGAAGGGACAGAGTCTCATCTACTATCCCCAGACCTATGTGCACTATTTAAAACTAGCAGTAACTTGGGAAACATTCATGTCTGTAGCAGTAATGGAACCTGAAATATTGCTGGGCTGCACACGCAAATGGGCAGGTCTGATATTCCATCTAGTAGAGGGCAATGATGTCTCATTGCCTCTTGTAATGGTGACTTAACATTCTCATATATTAGAACACTCCCAGGCCCTAATCCTGGAAAGATTTACTCATATGCTTAACACTCTGCACTGTGAGCAGTCCCCGTCAAGGAGTTACCCACAGTGCATAAACATAAGCATGTGCATAAGTCTTTACAGGATCAGGACCAGAGAGAAGCCACATCTGATGTTTCTGCTGTCAGTTACAGCAACTTTATGCTAGGAAAATCCATTAACTGCCATAAAGTTACTCCCGTGACTGAAGTGAGAGAAGAATCACTGTCAATATTTGCCACTTTATCAATGACTGTAATACTAAAGTACTTTCTGTTCAGTCAGGAAGGTACTGCAGTTACAGCAGGTACCTAAGGATGTTGAGATTCTAGTGATACACAGAGAGAGAGATTAATCCTGATGTTGCTTTGACGCTGTTTCTTTGCATCTCATTTGAAAAGAACCTTGGCTATTGAAATGCAAATTGTCAAGCAAAATGAGATGCCATTATCTGCAGGCCTGTCTCTCAGAGGTTTACACGTGTTCACTCAACCACAAAAAGTAGTTCTCTAATGAGGTTTTCTGGCAACATTTTAATGCACACAAATGCAACTGCATAAAAGTTTTCCTGGCAGAATTTGATCTTTACTCTGCACCAGGAATCATTTCATCTTACACTGCTATTTGTTTTTTTTTAAAGTCCAAATAACAATGGTACAATGAGGTCTCCCCTGACAACACAGTCCATAAAGCCAAAAGGATCTGATGTTATTCCAGCATGAGGACATTGGAAAAGTTTGGCAAACTGGTCATCCAGATCTTCTCAAATGTCTTCATAAACCAGGATAGCTCACTTTATCAAGAGCTTCTGCCAGGTTGATACAATCTATGTAAACATCTACACATTGTCCCTCGGTCTTCCCTGCAATTTTGGAGTAGATAAGGTCATGTTAATATGTGATAAACCTGTGGTAAAAATGGATGGTAAAATGTTCACACCATTAATGCATGATGCATACCTTTGTCAATAAGGCTATAAGACACTTCTTCTAAGGACCATTTGTGGCAAACTGTTCTAAGCCTAAAAGCACAGCTAGACCATCCAGAGTACCGCATGTGACTAGTAATGTCCCTATTTGCCAGTATTGGCTCCAATTCAAGAAAGCACTTAAGTATGTGCTTAAGTTCATACGCATGACAATGCTTAAGCATACACTTGAGTTCTATTGATTGCTATGGGATTTAAGCCTATGCTTATGTGTTATTGTGAATAACATTTTCCTTAATGGGGACCATTGTTTGGGACTGCTAGATGCTACCATAATACAATCAGAAGTGTGGCCCCATTGTGCCAGGTGCTGTTCAAACCCAGTTTAAAAGACAGTCCCTGCCCTGAAGAGTTTACAGTCTAAATGGACAAGAGAGTCAGACAAAATGGACAGACCCAAACTAATATCAAGCAAAATATATGCAAAAACTGAAGCAGAAAACACAACCAGAATGTCAAATTATTAAAGTGCGGGAGACTTCTGCTGAAATTCTCTTTCTCAACCATCATCATCATCATCATCATCAACTGTGTAGATGAGAAACTTATCAGGTTGCGCAGAAGACTGAGGTTGTCTGACCATGTGCCTAAAGTCTATTCAGTCTCCCTCTGCACAGAGGTGCCTTCTACACCATTAGCAGGGTTTCAACATTCCTGTGTCTTTTCCTTTGCCTCTGCCAGTTTTGAGTGAGCACTCAGTACCCTAGAGGAAGCAGGCACATTTCCCTTTGCTTTACTGGGGTGCGTAATGCAGGCTGTACAGCTAGATCAGTTACAAAATGAATCCAACTGGCAAATGTTTATCCAAATCTAAAAATTCCAAATACACACTTGTTATTCAGCATTCATCTCTCCTTTGGTATTATACTTTTCTTTATTTTTTGGTTCATACAGTAGAAAATCTTTTAATCTATTACATTTGATTTTTTCCTTTAACAGAGCCTTTATAAATCAGCTCCACTGTAATAGGATTACTTTATTAGCACACTGCTTCACACATCACATCTAAGAACATTTAAATTTTAAAAAGCCAGGGTGAGCAGATTGCCAAGCATGTTAAAAACTGGGGTTGTAGTAGAGGTCTGTAGAGGTTTTTTTCTTCATCTTTTAATAAGCAGAGATGGAAACAATTAGATTATCAGCTGATTACATTCTATACTGAGAGATGCATAAACTTTCATTTGCTATCTCTCTTGCTGTTTTTTCTTAGTTATGTGACTAGAATAATTTCAGAATCGCTACATATCAAAGATTGTGTTTCTATAGTGCTGCATTTTTAATATATTGGATTAGCTCTAAGTACTATAACACAAGAAGAGTAAGATTTTGATGGCTATTCTCAAGGCACTTGTCTTGATAAATATTTTTAAATTACCCTAAATGCACTGATGGTTCAACCTATAAAGAGTCTTACATGTAAAATACAAAAACTGAAATGTCTGAGATAGTAGGCATGACGACACAAAGGTTAATCCTGAGACTTCAGTTGACCCAACCTTGCACTGTTGTTATAATCTCTGTTCTGAGTTAATGAGATTAGTTTTGATGTTAGTGTCTGTTTTTTCTCAGGGTCTTAAAAATATAATTTGCCAAGAAGGTGAAATAAAATCTCAGCACTCTACAGGTATTGAATTTTCTTGGTTAAATAGAATAATTGGCCAGTGTTTTTGAGAGTTATGCACCAGAAGTAGCATCTGGTTTAGTGGCTCTTCCTTACCATGACTTTTAATGCTAAAAAGTAGAAGATTTGGTATTTCTAAGAATTTTCACTTAAACTTTCATGCCAAGATGCCTGTAGAGAAGGAGGTTTAACAGGTTTTGAACAACAGCTCCAAGATTTTAAGATGAAGTTAATAACTTTGTCATAATATGATCATCCTGCCCCTCTGAGCCCAACCCCTCACAATTGGTCCTTCTCAGCTGCATTACAGAATCCTTAGAACAGCATTCCTAAAGATTGCTCAGGGTTTTCAGTGCTTCAGAAGAAGAAGGGTGAGCACTGGGTACATTTGTTTGCAGTGCTCCTCATGTCTGAGAGAGACCGGCTGCACATGACTGAGCAATTTCTTTTCTGTGGAAGACAAAGAATGGGAAATGGAGTGTGACCCACGAAGACAACAACTGGTGAGCATCTTGGAGGCTGTGACCCATAAGCTGAGAACTGCTGCTCTCAGCTAGTGGAAAGAAACATGACATTAGTGCATGACATGCAGGTTCTTATGGACTAAAGCTTTCAACCAAACCTCAATACAAATACCGAACATTGCTAGTATACTGAAATAACTATACGCTGTAATCATAGGACAGAAATGTCTGTCAGCTCATACCTCTCTCCCTCCAAATGTTAGAGAGAGCACAGGGGATGGCTCAGTGTGCTTCTTAGAAAATTTTATTTATAACTCTAAGCTAAACCTGCATCATGAGAAGCCTACTAGAATTACACAGGATAATAGAAATGAGAACACTTCACTGGAGAAAATAACTGATTATCCAAGCTCAAGTAGAGGCTGCTCTTTGATTGTAAAGGCTATTCCTAGCAGAGCCTTCTTTCATCACAAGCTGTTGAGAATTACCTTTTTCATCATTTCCACAGGCTCCTTGATGTCTGTGTGGCAGTGTTTGCGTGTGGAGTAGGAATGAAAATGTCTAATCTAGGCAAAGGCTACAGCTGTTAAGGGACAGGAATCCCTTCACTTGTGCTCTTTTAACTTTAACTTGAGAGAGATGACACAGACTCTCAATTCTAATTAAAATTTACTTTCATTAAATTGTAAAATGCCTTCTACATGAATGGTAATATTTGAATATAGGCATATATGGATACATCAGTTACTGAATATGGCTAATTAATACTGGAACTTAAATCTTTTGAATGTAGGGATTTATACGCTGCTGATGAAAGACTGATTTTGATGCAGGCATCTTTCTTTCAAAAAACAACCCTCTACAGGTTCAGCAAGATGTTGTTTTTGAGTATGTGAACAAGTCATCTGTTGGCCTAAAATAAAATGTCACAAACTGGCGACACTATCACCTGGCTTGCAGAGGAGAGAGTGGAAGGAGGATGTCACAGTCTCTCTGGGAAGGATGTTAGTAAACTCCACCATCCAACAATCAGATGTTAGCAAAGCAGCAGAAGAGTGATGAGTAAGGCTCCATGTTTGTCACGGAGGTCACGGATTCTGTGACCTTCTATGACTTCTGCAGCAGCCCATGCAGCTTGCCCGGGAGCCGCCTGAGCAGCTCAGGCAGCCCTTGGGCCAGTCGCACCTGCTGTTACTGGGGCAGTCTCAGACCCCGCAACCCCCTAGTTGCAGGAGTTTGGGTGTAGGGGGGACTCAGGGCTGGGAATTGGGGTGCAAGGCGGTGCTTACCGGGGATGGGGGGCAGGGGCTCCCTGGAAGGGCGATAGGAACTCCCCTCCCATAGCTCCTAGCTCCACATGCTGCCTTCGCCCGCAGCTCCCATTGGCCACGCTTCCCAGCCAATGGGAGCTGCAGAACCAAGGCTTGGGGCGGAGCGGAGACTGCACGTAGAGCTAGGAGCTGGAAGTCACTGCTTCCCAGGAGCCGGGTAGGTAATCTGCCTCAGCCCCACCAACCCCCTCCCCCCCAGCACCCATGGCGTACACACCCCGAGCACCCGCAGCACCCCCAAGGCCACCCCCAAGTTTTAGACAGGACAGGTCACGGGCCGGGAATTTTTGTTTACTGCCCATGACCTGACTTTTACTAAAAATACCCTGGACTAAAACGTAGCCTTAGTGATGAGATGTAGGATGACCGAAAAGGGGCACGTGGAGATCAGGGAGAGCTCTCTCACATAACATTCCCATCACTCATCAATAAGCTCCTCATAGGGAAGAGGGAATAAGATAACAGGAAGGGCAGTAGGGGAGCAAAGAAGTTGAGGAAAGGAATGCAACGCCAAGAGTGTCCATCCTAGTACCAGGATACCAGCTGGTGGGTTTGTTTCAAATGAGTAGTGATGAGGTAGACTTTGCTTTCTCTCAAGAACTAATTCTCAGAATGCAGAATCAAAACACTAGATTAAATCAAGCAAAGGATATACCTTACAATTAAGCAACACAAATAATCACTACAAAATGTCAAGTAAACAGAGGACACATACTTATCCCAGGTGGGGATTTTTTTTTAAATGAAGTCTGTTCTGCTACCCACCCCCAAGAATCTCTTCAGTTGTGTAATAGTGAGGCCCAGCATGTTATAACTGCAAATCAAACTAACTGGGCATGAAAAAATAATGACAAAGTGAAGCAGTCTGTGTACAAACACTGGTATTACAGTGAATAAAGCACAACCACAACAGCAGTCAAACCCAGCATGATTGGCCTCTGTCAGCAGCAGTATGCCTGCACCGCCTGTGGCAGGTTATGAAAGTCACAAATTGGGCTCTACAACTGTAAATGGATATAAAGACCATAAACACATGCTCTTTAGTAACAAAGAGACAACTAACTTCAACCATCACTTCCGCATAAGCCATATTAAAGCCACTCAAAATTCTTCATCAAAATATTTCTTGGCAAAAAAAAAAGATTGTAGCTAAAATTTAAAAATATTTTATTGAAATTTTCTAGTTTTGAGAGAAAGAAGTTTTCAGTAGAAATATTTGATATTTTTCAGGCATTTTCTTTATGTTTAATGAAATTTTGTGGCTTGTTTTCTTCCCTTGAAAAAAACAAAAACAATTTCTGGGAAATTTAGAACACACCAAAAAAAGTTAACTTCCTGACAAAATACATTTTTTTAAATTATCTCTATTACTACCTGTGGTTATGTTGCCCTCTAGTGGTTCTTGTCTACAAAGGACAGTATTATTATTTATTTGTATTCCGGCATTGCCCACAACATGCTAGGGTACTGTCCGCACACTAAAGATAACTTTCATACACAAACATCTTAATTTATTGTATGTATGATTGTAGCCCTTAGGACTCCTAGCCATGGATTAGGACCTCACTGTGCTAGATGCTGTGCAAACAAAGAACTAAAAGACAGCCCTTGTCCCAGAGAGCTTACAATCTATCCATATTTAAACATGTGAGTAAAAGTAACCTGATTTTCAGAGGTGCTCAGCACCTGCAGCCCTTATAGTCTTCACTCTGAGTTGCTGGTACTCAGCAACTCTGACAATCAAGCCACCTTTTAACTAAATGCCTAAATGTGAATTTCGGTGCCTACATTCAAACAATCTGTCATAGTCTCTGATCTGAAGAGCTCAAATACAGAGATCTGTACATGTTTTATAGCTTATCTCTAATATTTTTTTAAATAAAAAGATACCAGTGCCCTACCTGGTAAAGGCAATGAAAACATAGCCTGTTACAAGAAGAGAACTGCTGAGTACTAAAGTAAAATTTACACACAAAGAAAAGCCTTGTAAGTACCAAACCAAATCTCACAAAACTGTGGACATCTCTTCAAAAATCTTTTAAAAAAAGAAGCCCTGTACAAAGAACATGGATTTTTAACAGAAAAAGTTGTTATAAAGATTTATATTTCTAGGCACACTGCCTAACCCCACTCTCCCATAGTCAAGTCAGCATTCAAAACAGGAGATTGTCATAATGTAATACTCCAATAATATTAATACTGATATATTGCTCATCACTTCACTTTAGGGATGAACAAAAGATTATATTTAAACCACAATAAAGAAAACACTAATCAATTGTCAGTAGTGATAGCTTGAAGTGAGTCCACTTTATTAACCTCCTGTACAAGTAGCTTGAACTTTGTAATTTTGTTATCAATTTGTCAATACTTAAGTCCTGCTTTTTAAAAGAATAGTAGCTGTTATATATGTTTTTAAAGTGACCTAGAGGCTCCTAGGTTGAGGATAAAATTAAAGAAACGTATGGAATTTAATTAGGTTTAAATGAAAAGATGTTGCATCAAAAACTCATTTTAACACAAATTATTGAACTAAAACTATACAGGCAAATCAAATGTGGAAAGTCACAGACTTCAGCTTTTTCCTCATCCTACTTTATTTTGTTAAAAACCAAGTAATTGTTTCTACTTTAGAATGTAATTTGTATTGTCCTCACTCACTTTCTAATACACTTTTCAAACCTTTTATTTATTAAAGGTCATATTCTGCCACCCTTACTCATATTGCACCCTCCTTTCAATATAAACAAACTTCCTAAAGGCAAGAAAAGTTATAAGATACAACATTACAGCACTAAAATACATTGCTTGTTGGATTACTAACATTAAGTGTAAACTTGTTATCTGGAAGTCAGTATAAGTCAGTGTGGATATTTACCTAATATGCCACTTTTTCCCCCTAGAGAATCAAAAAGCTCCTGCTTTCCAGAAGCATTTGATTGTACTACAGTATTTAATCAGATTCATTTTGTCTCAGCATCTCCATTACAAATCCTTCATTTTCAGCATTCGCTAGTGTTTACAGCCTGGACAAAGTAAGAGCTAACGTTGGTCGCACACTTTTGTTGTGTGTTAATACAAGACCATCAGTTACATTTATTATTCTCGTACCTTTTGTTCCATCTTCAGAAACTGAGCAAATTCTTCAACAGTGAGATGATCTTTCTTATCGCTGTAGCTCAAAAGCAACAAGTAGAGATCGCGTCGTAATGACATCATCTTGTAAAACACAGAGAATTCTTCGAATGTTAGGGTTCCCTGATTCTCATCTGTGTCAGCTTCCTGAGGAGCAAGAACATGCAAGTAAGTGTGTTGGGTAGATGTATGATGAATTCAGGGAATGAAGCAGAATAGAACATCCGTATAAGAAAAGATACACTTTCAATACACTTCAAGCCACATGACTCCACTCATCCTCAACAACACTAGCAAGCACTTTCTAATGTTACAACAAAATTAAAAGGATTCTTATTGGATTTTTTGGCAGAAATTCAATTGTTAAAGTAAAACGACAAAATCTCAGTGAAAAGGCAAATTCTGTCTTTAGATTTCATTGTATTAAGTTATTTCATGAGAAGGACTCACATTGGGCCAGATTACTCTGGTGTAAATCTAGAGTGATCTATTGATTCAATGGAGTCACACTGGATAGCATCAGAATCTCACCCACTGACTTCATCGAAAGGTAGAATCTGACATTTATAAATGTTCTGTATAATATTACAATGCTAAATGGATGTCAACATGATAAATTACAATAATCATTTAATCCCATTGCCAGCAAAGTGTACGTGAACAGGATTAAGTCTGCAATAACAGCAGCGTTCCACGCAGAAAAATATCTCCACAGTCTTGATTGCTGTTTTAGTTTGTCCTCAGAGCTATTGTTAGAGAAGAAAACAGTACTTACTGTATGTTATTACTGCTTTTTACATTGAGCATCTGCCTAAGAGGATTTGCTTTGGATTTACAAAACATTTGACAGCAGTTTTATCATTTATTTTGTCTTTGATGTAGGTCTCTACAGTAACCCAAACTCAAGAAAGGCTTTTCCCTGCTGAGTTTTAGATTGTAAGCAGCTCAAGGAAGAAAAGTTGAAAGGAAGTTTTAACATTATAGATGGTTCAGTGTCCTATGTGTATCCATGAATAACACCTCTCATTCACAGCAGTGCATATTGGTTTTCTTTATGCACTTTCTTTACATTTCAGTTAACCAAGGCCTTATGCCCTGATCCTGCATCAAGATCTGCAAATGAAGATGCCTGCAAGCCAGGCAGAGTCCTATTAAAGAAAGTGCCGCCTTAACTTCTCTGCACAGGACTCTCCTTTCTGTAAAAAGCTCTTCCCAATGTTGATTTGCCCTGAATTCCCTCGGGATGGGTTTCTCTGTCCAACAGTTTACCCAATAAAATGTGAACACAAATTCTCACTACAGCCTGCATCTCACCTAGGGTTGCAAATTCTGGCTGGACATATTCCTGGAGATTTCATCACATGACATAATATTTAATTGAATATTAATCTTTAATTCCTGGAAACTCCAGGACAATCCTGGAGGGTTGGCAACCCTAACCTCACTGCCGATCCTTTTTATTCTGGGGTCAGCTTTTCCTTCTTCCACCCACTCTCATACTTGCCAGAGTGAAGCTGCTGATCAGCCAGCCTGGAACTACAGAGAACAGCACCCCCAGCCGTCCAGTTTGGAACTACACCTTCCATTTTCACTTTCCCTTTGAACAAAGCATTCAATTTACCATTTGTTTTAAACACATTTCTAGGCTATGAATAACACTGTACTCTTTATAAGTAAACATCAGCATTAAAAATACAGCCTCAGAATTCCATGGCTCGACACCACTCTTTCCTTACAGACCAGTTGTCTCCTGTATGCTTTTGCTCTGCAATATATAATCCTCCATATTCAGTGGTGCTGGGAAAAGGAAACTGTATTGGGGTTAACTTTCCCAGACCTATGTCTGATGGCAAATTTGAAATCTTCTAGTCAGGCTATCAGTCAACTCCCTGTAGTCAGCTTCTGGTGTCCTCACTCATGAATGCCTCATGGCAAGATTTACCTGGATCACATACCTCTAATATTTCCTGGATTCTGGGTAGCAGGCTATCTGTCTGGCATAGTTTTACTATTTAAGTCTACATAATCAAAACAAAGGTGCACATCTTCAGTGGTGCAAGTGAAAACTGGGAACAGGCGGCACAGAGCCCAACTCTGTCAGGAGGAATCATTTAGGACAGATTTCTAGCTGCTTCAGATCACCTGAGCAGCACAAAGCTGCCTGATTCAGGACTGAGAATTTGGCACAGTGTCTATCCTTTATCATGTATAAATCTGGTGATACTGGAAGCCCACTGGACCCCTTGCATGAGTAAGGATGATTTGAGAAATAAGGGCTATACGCCTGGTCCCCAAGCCAGTCTAATAACAGGATAATCTTTCAAAACTTCATTCTTTCATCAACACTAAGGGTTCTAACCATTTTTGCAAGGTCTATGATATGAACCCAGATATAGGCTGGCAGCAACAAAGGGAAAAAAATTCAACCTGTTTTTGAAATCAAAATAATAGATGGCTCTGGGTTATAAAAAGGTTGCCTGTTAATGAGATCGTGTTACATCCCTAGATATTTCTTTTCCATTTGAAATGGAACTAAAAGGCTTTTGCCTGTCAATACGTGTCTTCACAATTCTCTGTTTCTCTTGCAGCTGCAGCATTAGTAAAACCTAAGGAAACACAGGGAGCTGCATTCATTACACCAGTGGTTCTCAAACTGTGGGTCGGGACTCCAAAGTGGGTCACAACCCCATTTTAATGGCATTGCCAGGGCTGGCTTAGACTTGCTGGGGCTCAGGGCCACTGATGAGCTGCCAAAATCTTAACAATCGGTTCCCTACCGGGTCTTCAGCGGCACTTCAGCGGTGGGTCCTTCACTCGCTCCAGGTCTTCGGCGGCACTTCGGTGGCAGGTCCTTCAGTGCTGCTGAAGACCCGGAGCAAGTGAAGGACCCGCCGCCGAAGTGCCGCTGAAGACTCAGAGCGCCCCCCGGTGAGTACAAGCCCCACATCTTTTTTTTTTCAGTCATCCCTGCCGGGGCCCCATCGAAACTGTTCGAATCGGGCCCTGCAATTCCTAAAGCCAGCCCTGAACATTAGGGTTGCAAAATTGTATCGGGGGCCGGGTAGGGAAGGCTGTGTCTCCCAAAACAGCCTGTCCCCCCCCATCTGACCCCCACCCACGTCCTGCCCCCGACTGCCCCCCTCAGAATCTGCAACCCATCAACACCCCCTGCTCCTTGTCCCCTGACCACCCCCTCCCTAGACCCCCCCACCCTAACTGCCCCCCAGGACCCCATCCCCTACCCAACCCCCCGTTCCCCATCCCGACCGCCCCCCAAAAACCTCTGCCCTCTCCAACCACTCCCTGCCCCTTATCCAACCCCTCCTCCCAGCCCCAGCCTGGCCCCCTTACCATGCTGCTCAGGGCAGCGTGTATGGATGCCACACGGCCCGCTGGAGCTCGCAGCCCCACCCCTTTACCATGGCGCTCAAAGTGGCAGGAGCTGCAGAGCTGCCCAGGAGCGTCCAGAGCGCTGGTGCCGGCGGCACGGCATGCTGAGCCTCTGCGAGAGGGGGGAAGGCACGGGAGGGGCTGGGGAGCCTCCCCAGCCGGAAGTTCAGGCAGGCCAGACAGGATGGTCCCACGGGCCGGAGTTTGCTCACCCCTTTAACAACTGGTTCTACACCGGCTTTTAAATTTAACAATTGCTTTGTGCTAACCGGTGCGAACCAGCTCCAGTTCACCACTGCTCAGCAGGGCTGGCTTTAGGCCGATTCAGGCGATTCCCCTGAATCGGGCCCCGTGCCTAAGAGGGCCCTGCGCCCTTGCTGTC